ATATATACGTCAGGTTATTCAACCTTTGGCCATAGAGATGTTTCATCCACCCATGCATCCTGTGGTGACATATAGTCTAGGTACATTCTTCCAAGTGACATATCTTAAGTTTTTTAAAGTAGGCTAGCGTTTTTTTTTTGTATTGAAATCCGGGTGGTGAATGCTATAGTCCAGTGGTTCCCAAACTTTTTGTACCATCGCCCCCCCTAAACTAGTTTATACAACTTCATCGCCCCCCGGCACTGCAAAAAAAATTTGAAAGTCTGAAACGAATATATTACAGACCAAATAAGAAGACAAATCATAGTTTATAGTGTTTTTCAATGAGATTGATGAGCTTGGTGTTCTTCGGCGAGTTTTTTATTATATCTAAAATTACCCCGTTTACTGATGGAATAGCAATTTAGTTGTTTTGATAGCAATAGTGTCCTGCATATAGCATTTAACTCCCTAAATTCACCCCGTTTCAAATTGAAGGAATGAAAACAAAATTAAATTTTCAAAACTTATAATAATGATTTAGGTACATCCCATCCCATTCATCCCTAAAGCCTGATGACCTTCACCAAAATACATGATATATAACGGTATTCGGTAAAAGTCATCCCCATTCCTCATCCTACCACGTCCTACAGTCCGATCACCAGTCCATAGAATTAATCAGCCATTTGTTTTGGATTTGTGGACTCGGATGGCTCAGGGGTCGGCAAATTTTAAGTCGCTCGCAGGACAAAATTTAGGATTGCTATTCTTTTGCGAATCGCATAGTTAAAAACGGAACATCGTGCAAAAACTCCGACAATTCGTGAACTCAACTCAGTCGTCTTATTAAAAAATTATTACAATGACATTTAATGTGACACTGTCTTGTTGCTGCATCACGCTTGATAGCTTTACGACGCCAAGATTGGAAGATTTTCTAAATCCTAGTCACTAATCCTAGTTCTTTGCTTGTTCTTTGTAATGTTCATTTTCAAAAACAAGAGAGCTACGCCCAAATATATGGACACGTCTGTTCGCAGTCTACAAATATATTTACACCAAGCGAAGCAGTACAGTAGGACACAAAATGGCGTCCGATGTCGGCAGAACGTTTAATGATGTCATAGCAAACAAAAACAAATCTCACAGAGCTAACAGAAATATTTGAATTAAATAAAAGTAATAGCCTTTATCTTTTAACCAGTAAAAATTTCGAAGCAATCGGTCCAGTAATGAATGAGAAAGCGGTTTTTTAGATTTTCCACTAGATGTCCAAAAAGTGTCAAAGAACAACAACAACAACAAGACCAACATAATATTGAAACGATCGTTATGTCCACTTCGTGTCCAATAATTGTTCGCCCAAATATGTACTTCCAAACATCGAAGTGAATGTTTTCGCATGGTTTGTGAAATTTTGATAAAGATTTTCTTTAAAAAGATACATTCTTACAAAAATTAAGCAGTGATGAATCTCTCGAATAAAATATGAATTTTTTCCTCTATTGCAATCAATCAATCATTTATTCGTCGTCACAAAAACATCAAATGCACAAAAAATTGGTACAATAAATAAATATAATAATAATGATATTTGTGCGACAGGAGTCGCGAGGGACCATATTAGGTCTTCAAGCAGCGACACCTAAAGCGCTGTTACTGGTTCAGTGTAAAAAAATAACTACATTTGCTACAAACATTGACTATGCAATAGTCGTTATGATGAACATATTTTGAATCATTGAAAAAATTCGCAGCAAACGCAACTTTACTAAAATCATATAATAGAGAAAAAATAAGAAAAACAACTCAACTATAAATTTATAAAAAAGGCATATTTGAATTTGAATAAATAAATATAATAATAATGATATTTGTGCGACAGGAGTCGCGAGGGACCATATTAGGTCTTCAAGCAGCGACACCTAAAGCGCTGTTACTGGTTCAGTGTAAAAAAATAACTACATTTGCTACAAACATTGACTATGCAATAGTCGTTATGATGAACATATTTTGAATCATTGAAAAAATTCGCAGCAAACGCAACTTTACTAAAATCATATAATAGAGAAAAAATAAGAAAAACAACTCAACTATAAATTTATAAAAAAGGCATATTTGAATAAATGTATATAAGTTACATAAAAGACAAACGACAAGCGAGGGGAAAATGGTTAGACCAAAGACAAAATTGTAAGTGAATAATTGAATAGAAGTTGGTAAGCTCTAATAAATCATAAAACGTTGATATGTATATATATATATATATATATATACAATACGCTCCACAGTAAGTGGGCATAAAATTTACGAAAGAATGGTAGGCATATGCTTGCTCAATAAAATAAAATATAACGAATTTTGGCATTTTAGTGTAGAGGTTGCACCAAGGTTGGTAAAGTTAAAGTACCGGGTACTTTAGAAATAGACTCCTTACACCTATAGTTCCTCCGGCTTTTTGGGCAGCCATGGCGACAGTCTACAAATGCGACTGCTGAGCTATGGACAGAAGATGGCGAATCATACTGAATACTCCAATCAATGGCTGATGGAAGAGAGATAATAACTAATATATTTACTTTTTAGATATAATTTGAAACCGTAATAGCCTAAAGATTTAATTGTACTTGGTAAGGCATTCCACAGTTTCACACCCGTGTATTTTATGGATTTCTGTGTCCTGCTTGATGAATATCTTGGGACATAATATGAACTTGACGAAGCTGTCGCAGTCACTGGCGTTCTCTCTTTTTTGATGTTAACTATTCGACCAATTAGGTCCCAAGTGGATCTAATATCACCACTGACCTGTTTAATTTTATTGAAGTAGTACATTTTTTTGGCCTTGTTTATGAGAACTGCCAGTAAATTACTATAAGTTTTATATGTTCTATATTGCGTGTTAGTACCATTTTTGAAGTGAGTTTTATACATTTTATGTTTCCTTTTAACTGAAACACGAATTCCCTTGGTTATCCAAGGTTTGGCTAGAAGTCTAGTTTTATGCCGACTCAATGGTTTTATTGGTGCGTGAGCATCAATGCTCGATTTAATAATTGCTACAAATGAGTCAAATAAAATATTTAAATTATCACATGTAATTTGGCAATTTGATATTGGGAGGATAGATGATTCTATGTCAGATCTATACATATCAATAGAGAAATTTCTCATATCACGCCTGAAAATTTGATTTTGTCTTCTTGTAAATATTGGAGTAGAGACGGTGCAAAATTGTGGGCAATGGTCACTTATATCAGTTAAAATAACAAAGCTCGATAAATCATAGTTTATGGCGTTGGTGAAAATATTATCGATTAGTGTGCTGGAGGTGCGAGTCACTCTTGTTGATTTTGTAATTAAGGGCAATGACAAATTGGCAAGATGCGTATCTATATATTTCATAGTGGCCAAATAATACCTACTAATAATATTCAAATCTGACACTTCTATGTTTTGGCATCGACATCTACTCAGTTCATTAAGCACTTTAAAATTATTAGCAAAAGCACCATGAAACTTTTGATTTGATTGCATTGCAATATATGCGAATATTTACTGCGCTATTAAACCCCTGCACTCAGCATCAACTTTTCTGCGTGTTTTCATTTGTCTAATTGTAATTAAATTGTATAGGCGAGTTAAACGAGTTCAATATTCAATGTTCAATATAATTTTTAGGATATGATAAAAATTTAGTTTGAACGTGTCTCACGATAAATTCTGTTACGTAAAAAATGTAATTTACTCTTCGAGCGTAGATAATAAATAAAATTAATTCATCGGTAAAACCGCCGTTTTGGATGTTTCCCCTGGCATAGACTTCCTTGTTTACTTTGGTGACATTGGCCAATCAACAAGATGCAAAAATAAACGTAACAATGCCCCCTTTCGCATCCACTCAGACACATTCCTCACTCAGCCAGACTTTCAGGCGTGGTCGTGAACATTACCGCATTTTTTGCGATTTTGAATAATATTCGTTAGTTTTTAGTTGTTTTTCGGAAATTTAAACAAAATAAGTCAATGATCACCTTGTCCTCCTAGGAGTTTTAATTGCAGTAATCAAAAATTAGTGTAGGAATAGCTGTGATAGACTAGGCTAAAATACATTACCGGTACTTTTAAAAAACAGATTGTTGAATGGTATGAATTATAATGATAGTTTGAAACAAATCCTTCATTTTATAGGCAACAACTCGCGAAACCACTCCTAAAATAAGCATCGAAAATTTTAGAATGGTAAAGTATGGGAAGAATTTTCCGTGGTCAAAGGTCGGGGAAAGGTCCATTCAGCGTCCCTGGCCAGATTACCCGACCACTGGGATACGCAAATTACCGTACCTTACTGCGAAGACGAGTCCAGCAATCCCTTCGCGTGTGAGATCGCCCATGTGATTCAAACCCACGAAAGCACGCATAGTACAGTAATCAAGTGCACGATGCGCCGAGCAAAACCAGTTTTCGCGAAATCGCCCCCCTATCGCCCCCTTCGACTTTTTCGCCCCCTTCTGTATCATTTTCGCCCACCGGGGGGCGATATCGCCCCCTTTGGGAATCACTGCTATAGTCTATACAGAAGCTGACGACGCCATTATATGGATTAATGCACAACAATAAAAAGGAGATTATTTATAGTCTATATACGCGTTACGTACAGTACCATATGCTGTTAAAAATCTGGAAATGACAGACAGAAAAACTGTTACAGATCCAGGCAAACCAAAAATACTGCAGTGCTAACACCCTGTCTTATCGTAACATATTATCATAAAGCCTTGTACTATTAAGCTGCAGGAACAAACAAATGTCCTGCAAACATAGGCTATACCAACTAACGCTACAAAATAGATATGCTTTCAAACACAACTGCAGGAAACGAACGCGCAAAACAGTTCACGGCAGACGACAGTCCAGCGAGATATACCTGCAGTTTTGGTCGAGCGAATTTGTCACGTGGTTATGACGTCACGCGAAATTTGAGAATACAACTTATGGAGGATGGGAAAATCCACATTGTGGAAACATTAAAAAAAAAAATAAAAAAAAATGGAAAAGCAGTGAGAGCTGAGAGGTAAAGTTACAAATTATTTTAGCAAATAAATTTAAGTTCATCCGACATAAAGTACCGGTATGTGATATTTGGTACGACACCATACATAACATGAAAAGCACGGCACACGGTACCGGTACCGGTACCTTTTATCAGTATATTATGAAATCTATTACTATAATAAGCCTAGTTGTGACGCAGTCTCCATCTAATATATTTGAATTTTTATCAGATTGGGACTACCACAATGGATATAATGATAAAGTTCTATGGACACATGAAAATCTGCTCCAAAATAATGGGCGTGATATATTTTTATATATGCTGCTTGGATTTGCAATTCGGCTTGATGATTTCAACAAATAGCCTACCAGTATCTGTGAGATCATGAGTGAAATAGTCCTATTCACTTTGCAGTATAAATTAAACAACATGATTTCAATAGAAAAAGACTGTGGAATCATAATTGTTTTGATGTGCAATATAAAAAACACAACAAAAATTTAATAAAAAGCTATGACTATGTATTTGTGATGATATTGTTAGAGTACTGTGGATCGAGTGGAGTTTGTTCTTATAAACACAGAGAAATGCGGAAAGAGTGACTTATCAAATTCAGCCAGACTGGTAAGGGGCGATCAGAAGTTTTTTATATTTACGTTTAAATGAGGCGTAGTAGGAATCACGTAGGCCTTGGCGGAGATCATTCCAAATTAAAACTCCTTTGTATTTCAAAGAATTTTGGTATTTAGTTAGCGAGAAACGAGGTACAAAGAAATTACACTTTATCTAGGAGCGAGTACTATACTTATGTACTGAGCTAAGGGTGACAGAATAATTTTTGAATGCTGCTGGCAACTGATTATTTTGATATTAATGCATAATCTTGGATATTTCAAGCTTATGGATGTCAGATAATTTGAGCACTCTATTCTTGTGATATAGGCCTAAAGTGTTCAAGTTTGAACGAAAGGGTGCTCCGGAGAAGATTCTAATGGCCCTATTTTGTAAAACTTCTAGGTGATGCATGTTGGTTTCACTTGTAGAACCCCATGCAGCTATAGCATACTGGATGTGACACTGGAAAAGCGCGAAATAAACCGTTTTCAGGGTAGAATTCTGTAGATAATGTGTAGGCTTACTCAAAATTCCTACTGCTCTTGAAAGAAACTGTGAAAAGAAACTGTGTTCTTAGTCAGTTAGTGTTTCCCGCTTTTAATGTCTTTTGGCGCAGGTACTTTGCGAGATCGCACGTTATGTTTGGATTACCTAGTACCCGCCATGATTTTTTAAAAGGGACGGTGTTTATTGAATTTGCGCTTCTGCTTCTGTATATTCCGTATATATATCTGTATATTCCCTGCCATGGCGACCGTAAAACGGTCATTAATTCCAGTTTTTGAACTTTCATTTTCATTCTCAGTTTAATTAATGAACATAAAAATCTGCTTGAACTAAATCCTCTGAAACACTTGAAGTATTGAAGTTTCATTTCATCGCAATAGATGGTGAGTAATTCATTCTACAATTGTGTATTCACTGAGCATTATTTTGCGAAACTAATTTTCTGAAAATTGTAGGATTTGCAATTTTCAGGGATAGGGCTATTTACTGAAATATTTTTTATTAGTGAGTACACAACACAGGTTTTTAATTCATGACGACTGTCTTGCGCTTTGACTCTGCAAAATCTTGTTACATGTAAATTGAAACTGTAGTTATGAGTAGAATCAATTATCAGTTCAATGGTGATGTGGCGCATTGTGCTAAGTGTTAGGAATGCGCTCGCAACTGCACCTCTGATTACCTTGCGCGGGTTCGCATTCCATGCGGTGTTAAATATGTGTGAGAGGAGATTGCTCGACTTTTTGTCATTGTAGGGTGTTTCACGTAACCACTGTTCGGATACGGCTTCCTCCACCAAGTCCATGAATCTGAAATACGAATCTTTTGTACAAAGCCCTCGCCACTAATGCAAATATGTGAGATTTGTGAAAAACGCTCCCGCCATGTTTTAAAATAACAAATTAATAATTATTCAGTTGGGGTTAGGGTTCGAGTTAGAAACCTAACCTTACTTGAATATTTCTATTTTTTTATTTTGAGTGGAGGTTATGGTATTATGTATAGCCGGGGCAAAAGATCCCGAAATAATTATCTGAGGCTTCAATTACTAGAATTCTGCATATCATTGTTTTCCATTTTTGCTTTCGTAAAACTATAAGAAGAATTCTGTTCATAAAATGTAATTATAGGGCATACTACTATAAAATATCACGGCAATCGGCGGATATAAATTTTCTTGTAGCCAGCTTGTAGGTAACGATTGTTTCATTGTTTATTGCATGCTAATCCTGCCATACAATAAGATAAGCTTGAATTTATTTTCTAAGTATTCGAAATTTCATATTCGAAAATAATAATTTCAAATGTATTCGAAATAGTGAATTATTCGGTATTGGCCATCCCTGCCCGCGAACAATGCAAAAATAATTTTGTGGCCCCCGAAGCAAACAGTCTTGGACTCCCTGATTTACCTATTTTACTGTATGTCGGGTGAGATTGCCAAGTTTGATGTCTGTCGTTTTTATGGGTTTTTCACAAGAAAACAAATGTATAATCAAACGAGAGAGATTATGATGTGAAAAAAAACTGTGGTTAATAAATTATAACCACTCAACTATTTCCACCAAAGTACCGTATACAAAATTTAAAAATTACCGGGGTTTGATCCTTCCAAAAAATATATCTTAACTATGGAAACAAATTTCAAATGCGACGTTTGACAAATTATACGAGTGATGTTCAATATTGCGCTGCAATGCCGGTATATGACAAGGCTTCAGTTGTGTAGCTCGGCGCGACTTTGCTGAAAATATCTGAAGTATTTGCCTCCATAGCAACGTAAAAACAAATTTATTTAGGTCTTCTACCAGCGACTTGAGTTATATTTATGACTAAAAATATGAAATGTATTATTTTCAAAGGAAAAAAGATTTTTTTCGAGCAATATTAAGAAAAAACACAACGTCCACCAGAATTCTATCTGATCGATTCATTAGTGGATTTTGTGTCCAATAGCAAAGTTATTTGTGAATCATTAGTCCTAATTTGGTTTCTTCCAATTATTTCTATCCTGTTTCTAGAAAATGAGAGGATACTATATTGCGAAATCAGGTTATTATTTCTATTTTCAAATTTCTAAAAATACAACTAAAAACTGATAAATAGCAAACTGACAAAGCCCCAAAATCAAGCTGATGAACATCATAATGCATAAAAATATATGAAACAGTATCCAAACAGCCGTCAAAACTTTTGTTTTTATGCAACTATTGACATCTTGCTGATTAACCAATGTTAGAGGAGTAAACAAGTGAGTCGATGATCTGTGAATCCTATATTACTAGGACAATTTTGACTTCAATGGTTTAGCGAAAAATGTTTTGTGATTATGAAATGGAAAGAAACGATGCATTCAAGTCAGGAAGCAGTTGCGGTCCAAATTTAATACTAAAACTGTTCGGTCTTTCCCTGAATTAGAAGACGGAAATATAAAAATTAACAATTAGTGCCGAACAGACGGAAACCGAATTCTGTTCTATTCTTTCTTTCTTTGATTCTATTTGGATTCGAATATTTTGGGATTCAAATCCTCTGGATTCTATATTGCCCATCCCTAATTACTGGTTAAAAACCTTTTCCTGTTCGGATTCCAAATTGCCCACATTACTAACTTCAGCTGTATGGCATGGGTTTTAATACTTTCGTTTTTGTCTATGAAAATTAACCGTTATCATATTATGACTAAAAAGTTGTGCGGTCCCGCTTACTTAGCGGTGAATGATAAAATGGCCCACAATAGAAAATAGGTTCGTGATTGGGTTACGTGAACCACAGTATGATGCCAATTAGTCCAGCAATCTTCTAAAACAGTGGTTCTCCAACATTTTCTTTGTGCAGCCTCAAATTATCAGGGTGAAATCTCACAGCGCACTCAACACAAAAAAATGCATGTCTTAAATTAAATTCATTTTTAACACTATAATTTATGTATATTAAAGTTTGTAAATATGTAGGCCTGAGGAATAAAGGCCAAAGTTCGATTCTTCTTCCTCATCTCTGCCTGATTTTTCTTTGAAATACTAGATAAATCACTCATGCTCGCTAAACTCTGTACAGAATATAAATTTTTCTATATGACTTGCGATGAGTAATTCTTAATCCTAGCATTGCACGACCAACCACACAACATCAACATGGACTGATAGCTGTCGTTCTTTATATGATTAAGCCATCTTACCAGCTTCCCTCTCCCTGAGAAAAAATAATAATTGTGTTTTTCCTGAGCTGTGTTGATTTTATTTTAATATTTTTAGAAAATAGATTTTAAAAAGTACCATTTTTTACTATTTCTATTTCTCCTTATTATTTAATGTTTTATGTTTGTATAATATATTTTGCAATATATCTGGCAACCCCCTATTTGATGTTTTATAGGTTTGAAAATGGAGCAGGAGATCGGGCCAGCTGTGTCGGTGTCAGAGACGAACATAACCGATTCCATTGTGCAAGACTTGAGCGTGAATAACGCTGCAGAAGTCTCTATGACAGCAGAATGTTCGGAAATCGCAAATGTAGACGAAGCATCTGTGATAGCAGAACAGGCGACTGTGACAGCTAGAGATGCCGTCATTTCTGCGGATCAATGCCACATCGGTAAGAGAATTCTTTATAGAATGTTGTTTTAACTCTCAAATTTGATCCTCTTAGTCGACTTTTTGACTAACAACCCCACCCCCCCCCCCCCCCCCCCCACCTCTTCTGACGCCTAAAGAGTAAAAATGAGTTTATATTATATTTATCAATATTAATAATGAGATGGGCGAGCCTGCTGAAACGGCACAGGATTTTGATTTCTCATTCATATTTCAATTCAGAACGATTAATAAAAAAAACTGAACTTTGGTTTGAGTTTAAATCACTTTGCAATGTAATGTTCCTCCGACAAATTCAATGTTTGTAAATAATACCTAATTTCCCACTTGGGACCCCGATTGTGATACATCACGAACTTCCATATCATTGAGTTATTCTTGAATATTCTTGGCGTACGTGTCTATATCAATATTGCTTTTACCACTGGTATCAAGTAGTTGAAAGTTTGAGAATATTTTCTCGCCTGGTTAAATTTCACTGATAAACCACGAGTCTGTTATTTAACCCAGACAGTGCCGATTTCAAGAATATTGTGTTTCTTCGCGTGCAATACGCATTTTCGTGACCAAATTTTCAACTTCAGAATAAGGGAGTTTGTATTATGTATAGACATAGCCAATGCTATCAAAAAAATATTAATTATTATTCTAATCTTAACTGGTTAATGATTCTAACACATATTAATCTTAAGTGTCCTAATTTAGCAAAGTCTGTTATAATCAGATAATGTTTGTTTGGGTAGAAAAAAATACCCAGTCCAACAAGATTAAGCATTATTCGAAGTAGCAAGAGTCTTAAACATCCATTAACTACTGTCATTGTCTCGTCTTGGTCGTTTCCAGTAAGTCATATGCTGAACATTAACATAATATCATTCAATTCTTTTGCGATTCAGAAACCAACATAACTGGTTCCACAGTGCATGACTTGGACATCGAAACTGCTGAAAATGTCTCTGTGGTCGCAGAGGTAGCAAACATAGCAGCGAGTAACGAGACGAGTATACAGGCAGAGGAGGTTTCTGTTTCCACTGAGCAAGCAAACGTTACAGCAGCGGAGGCAATTATCTCCGCAAATGTACTTCAACAAACCAACATTAATGGTGAAATATTTTGATACCTCTCATCAAACTTACTTTTATTGTGGTCAACAAGTTGCATGCTTGTGATAGAGATCTTGAATTTGAGTTCTGGCTATGTCATGTCAATCTGGGCCGGACATCTTTCAGTCCATCTGAACTGGCGTCTTAAATTTTTCGAATGCAGGAATAATGAACTGATATTGCCAAGTACCCATGAGTACATCTACTGAATTTTATAGTGTCAGTTATCAGGGTACTTGAAATTGTGGACTACTGAAAGAATGTGGTTTGAAATGGGGTTCTTTGAACACCCCCGTCCCACTTCCAGTATTTAGTTTTTAGTGTTTTATTCTTCAGAATATTTAATCATCCTAACCTACTGAACACCCCCTCACTTTAAGTATTTATCTAAATTTTTTCTCACCCAAACCTACTGTGAACACTCCCTCACTTTAAGTATTTAGTTCAATTTTCACTCACCCTAACCTATTGTTAACACCCCCTCACTTTAAGTATTTATTTGAATTTTCAATTACCCTAACCTACTGTGAACATCCCCTCACTTTCATTGTTTAGTTAAATTTTCACTCACCCCAATTTACTGTGTACACCCTTCCCCCCCCACTCCGAGTATTTAAGTAAATTTTTATTCACACTAATCTAACCATGAACAACCCTTATTTTGTTATTTAGTTTCATCAATTCCAAACTCCCTCTGTAATTGGGGCCAAATTTGAAATTCTGCAATCCGTTGTGTCGGGAGTATAAATAATAATATTATAATGAATAAAAGGGTATTAGTAAGTCATATGCTGGACATTTAATATAATTTCATTATATACTTTTGTGTTTCAGAAACCAACATAACTGGTTCTACAGTGCAAGACTTGAACATCAAAACTGCTGAAAATGTCTCTTTGGTCGCAGAGGTAGCAAACATATCAACGAGTAACGAGACAAGTGTGCGATCTCAGGAGGTTTCTGTTTCCACTGAGCAAGCAAACGTTACGGCAGCGGAGGCAATTATCTCCGCAAATGTACTTCAACAAACCAACATTAATGGTGAAATATTTTGATACCTCTCATCAAACTTACTTTTATTGTGGTCAACAAGTTGCATGCTTGTGATAGAGATCTTGAATATGACTTCTGGCTATGTCATGTCAATCTGGGCCGGACATCTTTCAGTCCATCTGAACTGGCGTCTTAAATTTTTCAAATGCAGGAATAGAGAACTGATATTGCCAAGTACCCATGAGTACATCTAGTGCATTTTATAGTGTTAGTTATCATGGTACTTGAAATTGTGGACTACTGAAAGAATGTGGTTTAAAATGGGGTTCTTTGAACACCCCCCACCTCTCCCTTTCAGTATTTGGTTATATATTTACCCACCCTAACCTACTGTGAACACCCCCTCACTTTAAGTATTTAATCAAGTTTTTACTCATCCTAACCTACTGTGAACACCCCCTCACTTTCAGTATTTATATAAATTTTCACTCATCCTAACCTACTGTGAACACCCCCTCACTTTAAGTATTTAGTCAAGTTTTTAATCATCCTAACCTACTGGTTACATCCCCTCACTTTAAGTATTTAGTCAACTGTGAACACCCCCTCACTTTAAGTATTTATTTAAATTTTCACATTATATTATAATGAATTAAAGGGTATTAGTAAGTCATATGCTGGACATTTATTATAATTTCATTATATACTTTTGTGTTTCAGAAACCAACATAACTGGTTCTACAGTGCAAGACTTGGACATCGAAACTGCTGAAAATGTTTCTTTGGTCGCAGAGGTAGCAAACATATCAGCGAGTAACGAGACAAGTGTGCGAGCTGAGGAGGTTTCTGTTTCCACTGAGCAAGCAAACGTTACGGCAGCGGAGGCAATTATCTCTGCAAATGTAATTCAACAAACCAACATTAATGGTAAACTATTTTGATACCTCTCATCAAACTTACTTTTATTGTGGTCAACAAGTTGCATGCTTGTGATAGAGATCTTGAATTTGAGTTCTGGCTATGTCATGTCAATCTGGGTCGTACATCTTTCAGTCCATCTGAACTGGCGTCTTAAATTTTTCAAATGCAGGAATAGAGAACTGATATTGCCAAGTACCCATGAGTACATCTAGTGTATTTTATAGTGTTAGTTATCATGGTACTTGAAATTGTGGACTACTGAAAGAATGTGGTTTAAAATGGGGTTCTTTGAACACCCCCCACCTCTCCCTTTCAGTATTTGGTTATATATTTACTCACCCTATCCTACTGAGAACACCCCCTCACTTTAAGTATTTACATTAATTTTAACTCACCCTAACCTACTGAGAACACCCCCTAACTTTAAGTATTTACATGAATTTTAACTCACCCTAACCTACTGGTTACACCCCCTCACTTTAGTATTTATTAAAATTTTCACTCACCCTAACCTACTGAGAACACCCCCTCACTTTAAGTATTTACATGAATTTTAACTCACCCTAACCTACTGGTTACACCCCCTCACTTTAGTATTTATTAAAATTTTCACTCACCCTAACCTACTGTGAACACCCCCTCACTTTAAGTATTTAATCAAGTTTTTACTCACCCTAACCTACTGAGAACACCCCCTCACTTTCAGTATTTAGTCAAGTTTTTAATCATTCTAACCTAATGTGAACACCCCCTCACTTTAAGTATTTAGTCAAGTTTTTAATCATCCTAACCTACTAATTACATCCCCTCAATTTAAGTATTTAGTCAAGTTTTTCCTCATCCTAACCTACTGTGAACACCCCCTCACTTTAAGTATTTAGTTCAATTTTTACTCACCCTAATCTACTGAGAACACCTCCTCACTTGAAGTATTTACATAAATTTTAACTCACCCTAACCTACTGAGAACACCCCCTCACTTTCAGTATTTATATAAATTTTCACTCACCCTAACCTACTGAGAATACCCCCTCACTTTCAGTATTTATATAAATTTTCACTCACCCTAACCTACTGAGAATACCCCCTCACTTTCAGTATTTATTTAAATTTTTTCTCCCCTAACCTACTGTGAACACACCCTCACTTTAAGTATTTATTCAAATTTTCACTCACCCTAACCTACTGAGAACACCCCCTCACTTTCAGCATTTAGTCAAGTTTTTAATCATCCTAACCTACTGTGAACAACCCCTTACTCAAGTATTTTTTTTAAATTTTCACTCACCCTAATCTACTGTGAACACCCCCTCACTTTCAGTATTTAGTCAAGTTTTTATCCATACTAACCTACTGTGAACACCCCCTCACTTTAAGTATTTATTTAATTTTTTACTCACCCTAACCTACTGGTTACATCCCCTCACTTTAAGTATTTATTTCAAATTTCACTCACCCTAACCTACTGTGAACACCCCCTCACTTTAAGTAATTAGGCAAGTTTTTACCCACCCTAACCTACTGTGAACACCCCCTCACTTTAAGTAATTAGGCAAGTTTTTACCCACCCTAACCTACTGAGGACACCCCCTCACTTTCAGTATTTAGTCAAGTTTTTGATCATCCTAACCTACTGTGAACAACCCCTTACTTAAGTATTTTTTTTTCAACTTTCACTCACCCCAACCTACTGTGAACACCCCCTCACATTCAGTGTTTAGTCAAGTTTTTAACCATACTAACTTACTGTGAACACTCCCTCAATTTAAGTATTTAATCAAGTTTTTACTCATCCTAACCTACTGTGAACACCCCCTCACTTTAAGTATTTAGTTCAATTTTCACTCACCCTAACCTATTGTTAACACCCACTCACTTTAAGTATTTTTTTAAATTTATACTCACCCTAACCTACTGTGAACACCCCCTCACTTTCATTGTCTAGTTGAATTTTCACTCACCCCAATTTACTGTGTACACCCCTCCCCCCCACTCCGAGTATTTAAGTAAATTTTTATTCACACTAATCTAACCATGAACAACCCTTATTTTGTTATTTAGTTTCGTCAATTCCAAACTCCCTCTGTAATTGGAGCCAAATTTGAAATTCTGGAATCCGTTGTGTCGGGAGTATAAATAATAAATTTATAATGTATAAAAGGGTATTAGTAAGTCATATGCTGGACATTTAATATAATTTCATTACATACTTTTGTGTTTCAGAAACCAACATAACTGGTTCTACAGTGCAAGACTTGGACATCGAAACTGCTGAAAATGTCTCTTTGGTCGCAGAGGTAGCAAACGTAGCAGCGAGTAACGAGACAAGTGTGCAAGCTGAGGAGGTTTCTGTTTCCACTGAACAAGCAAACGTTACGGCAGCGGAGGCAGTTATCTCTGCAAATGTACTGCAACAAACCAACATTAATGGTGAAATATTTTGATACCTCTCATCAAACTTACATTTATTGTGGTCAACAAGTTGCATGCTTGTGATAGAGATCTTGAATTTGAGTTCTGGCTATGTCATGTCAATATGGGCCGGACATCTTTCAGTCCATCTGAACTGGCGTCGTAAATTTTTCAAATGCAGGAATAGAGAACTGATATTGCCAAGTACCCATGAGTACATCTAGTGTATTTTATAGTGTTAGTTATCATGGTACTTGAAATTGTGGACTACTGAAAGAATGTGGTTTAAAATGGGGTTCTTTGAACCTACCCCACCTCTCCCTTTCAGTATTTGGTTATATATTTACTCTCCCTAACCTACTGTGAACACCCCCTCACTTTCAGTATTTAGTCAAGTTTTTACTCGTCCGAACCTACTGTGAACACCCCCTCACTTTAAGTATTTATTTAAATTTTCACTCACCCTAACCTACTGTGAACACCCCCTCACTTTCAGTATTTAGTCAAGTTTTTACTCGTCCTAACCTACTGTGAACACCCCCTCACTTTAAGTATTTATTCAAATTTGCACTCACCCTAACCTACTGGGAACACCCCCTCACTTTCAGTATTTAGTCAAGTTTTTACCCATCCTAACCTACTGTGAACACCCCCTCACTTTAAGTATTTATTCAAATTTGCACTCACCCTAACCTACTGGGAACACCCCCTCACTTTCAGTATTTAGTCAAGTTTTTACCCATCCTAACCTACTGTGATCATCCCCTCACTTTCAGTATTTAGTCAAGTTTTTACTCACCCCAACTTACTGTGTACCCAATCCGAGTATTCAAGTAAATTTTTATTCATCATAATCTAACCATGAACAACTCTTATTTTGTTATTTAGTTTCGTCAATTCCAAACTCCCTCTGTAATTGGAACCAAATTTGAAATTCTGGAATCCGTTGTGTCGGGAGTATAAATAATAATATTATAATGAATAAAAGAGTATTAGTAAGTCATATGCTGGACATTTAATATAATTTCATTACATACTTTTGTGCTTCAGAAACCAACATAACTAATTCTGCAGTGCAAGACTTGGACATCGAAACTGCTGAAAATGTCTCTTTGGTCGCAGAGGTAGCAAACATAGCAGCGAGTAACGAGACAAGTGTGCGAGCTGAGGAGGTTTCTGTTTCCACTGAGCAAGCAAACGTTACGGCAGCGGAGGCAATAATCTCCGCAAATGTACTTCAACAAACCAACATTAATGGTGAAATATTTTTGATACCCTCATCAAACTTACTTTTATTGTGGTCAACAAGTCGCATTCTTGTGATAGAGATCTTGAATTTGAGTTCTGGCTATGTCATGTCAATCTGGGCCGTACATCTTTCAGTCCATCTGAACTGGCGTCGTAAATTTTCAAATGCAGGAATAGAGAACTGATATTGCCAGTACCCATGAGTACATCTAGTGTATTTTATACTGTTAGTTATCATGGTACTTGAAATTGTGGACTACTGAAAGAATGTGGTTTAAAATGGGGTTCTTTGAACACCCCCCACCTCTCCCTTTCAGTATTTGGTTATATATTTACTCACCCTAACCTACTGAGAACACCCCCTCACTTTGGGTATTTACATTAATTTTAACTCACCCTAACCTACTGAGAACACCCCTCACTTTAAGTATTTATGAAATTTACTCACCCTAACCTACTGTGAACACCCCCCACTTTAAGTATTTATTTAAATTTTACTCACCCTAACCTACTGTGAACACCCCTCACTTTAAGTATTTAGTTTAATTTTTACTCACCCTAACCTACTGTGAACACCCCTCACTTTAAGTATTTATTTAAATTTAACTACCCTAACCTACTGTGAACACCCCTCACTTTAAGTATTTATTTAAATTTTTTTACCCTAACCTACTGTGAACACCCCTCACTTTCAGTATTTATTTAATTTTTACTCACCCTAACCTACTGTGAACACCCCCTCACTTTAAGTATTTAGTTAAATTTTTACTCACCCTAACCTATTGTGAACACCCCCCACTTTCAGTATTTAGTTAAATTTTTACTCACCCTAACCTACTGTGAACCCCCTCACTTTCAGTATTTATTAAATTTTTACTCACTCTAACCTACTGTGAACACCCCTCACTTTAAGTATTTAGTTAAATTTTTCTTCACCTAACCTACTGTGAACACCCCCTCACTTTCAGTATTTAGTTAAATTTTCACTCACCTAACCTACTGTGAACACCCCTCACTTTAAGTATTTAGTTAAATTTTACTCCCTAACCTACTGTGAACACCCCTCACTTTCAGTATTTAGTAAATTTTCACTAACCTACTATGTGAACATCCCCTCACTTTCAGTATTTAGTTAAATTTTTACTCACCCTAACCTACTGTGAAACCCCCTCACTTTCAGTATTTAGTTTAATTTTTACTCACTCTAACCTACTGTGAACACCCCCTCACTTTCAGTATTTAGTTAAATTTTTACTCACCTAACCTACTGTGAACACCCCTCACTTTAAGTATTTATTTAAATTTTACTCACCCTAACCTACTGTGAACACCCCTCACTTTCAGTATTTAGTTAAATTTTACTCACCCTAACCTACTGTGAACACCCCTCACTTTCAGTATTTATTAAATTTTTACTCACTCTAACCTACTGTGAACACCCCTCACTTTCAGTATTTAGTAAATTTTTACTCACCCTAACCTACTGTGAACACCCCTCACTTTCAGTATTTAGTAAATTTTACTCACTCTAACCTATTGTGAACACCCCCTCACTCTAAGTATTTATTTGAATTTTCAATTACCCTAACCTTCTGTGAACACCCCCTCACTTTAAGTATTTAGTTAAATTTTTACTCACCCTAACCTACTGTGAACTTCCCCTCATTTTCAGTATTTAATTAAATTTTTACTCACTCTAACCTACAGTGAACATCCCCTCACTTTCAGTATTTAGTTAAATTTTTCCTCACCCTAACCTTCTGTGAACACCCCCTCACTTTCAGTATTTAGTTAAATTTTTACTCACCCTAACCTACTGTGAACTTCCCCTCATTTTCAGTATTTAATTAAATTTTTACTCACTCTAACCTACAGTGAACATCCCCTCACTTTCAGTATTTAGTTAAATTTTTCCTCATCCTAACCTACTGTGAACACCCCCTCACTTTAAGTATTTATTTAAATTTTCACTCACCCTAACCTTCTGTGAACACCCTCTCGCTTTCAGTATTTAGTTAAATTTTTACTCACCCTAACCTACTGTGAACATCCCCTCACTTTCAGTATTTAGGTAAATTTTCACTAACCCTAACCTATTGTTAACACCCCCTCACTTTAAGTATTTATTTGAATTTTCAATTACCCTAACCTTCTGTGAACACCCCCTCACTTTAAGTATTTATTTAAATTTTCACTCACCCTAACCTTCTGTGAACACCCTCTCACTTTCAGTATTTAGTTGAATTTTTACTCACCCTAACCTACTGTGAACACCCCCTCACTTTCAGTATTTAGGTAAATTTTCACTAAACCTTACCTATTGTTAACACCCCCTCACTTTCATTGTTTAGTTAAATTTCACTCACCCCAATTTACTGTGTACACCCCTCCCCCCCACTCCGAGTATTTAAGTAAATTTTTATTCACACTAATCTAACCATGAACAACCCTTATTTTGTTATTTAGTTTCGTCAATTCCAAACTCCCTCTGTAATTGGAGCCAAATTTGAAATTCTGGAATCCGTTGTGTCGGGAGTATAAATAATAATATTATAATGAATAAAAGGGTATTAGTAAGTCATATGCTGGACATTTAATATAATTTCATTACATACTTTTGTGTTTCAGAAACCAACATAACTGGTTCTACAGTGCAAGACTTGGACATAGAAACTGCTGAAAATGTCTCTTTGGTCGCAGAGGTAGCAAACATATCAGCGAGTAACGAGACAAGTGTGCAAGCTGAGGAGGTTTCTGTTTCCACTGAGCAAGCAAACGTTACGGCAGGGGAGGCAATTATCTCTGCAAATGTACTTCAACAAACCAACATTAATGGTGAAATATTTTGATACCTCCTGTCAAACTTACATTTATTGTGGTCAACAAGTTGCATTCTTGTGATAGAGATTTTGAATTTTACATCTGGCTATGTCATGTCAATCTGGGCCGGACATCTTTCAGTCCATCTGAACTGGCGTCTTAAATTTTTCAAATGCAGGAATAGAGAACTGATATTGCCAAGTACCCATGAGTACATCTAGTGTATTTTATAGTGTTAGTTATCATGGTACTTGAAATTGTGGACTACTGAAAGAATGTGGTTTAACCCTTTTTTTCCGCTGTATACAATCGACTTTATGTACCATTTTATAATATGTAATGACCAGTTAACCAAACGTACAAGGAACACCCCCAATATCTCTTTAAAAAGCTTATTTTCGCGTCTTCCTACTAAAACGCGCCCAAGTGACGTAGGCGAAACCGTTCGACCCTACGCGTGTAAGAAGAGAGAAATTTCAAAAATTTTTGAGAGAACGTTTCACACTCTTATCGCTTCGATGAACACGTGTTACAAAGAAACGAAATTCCAAGCGCTCTTCTGAAAGAGAGTTACGTCACCTTTGAAAGAAAAACCAGACTCAGCTTCGCAAGCGAAGCGAAACGCGAAATAATCAATGATATGTGAGAGCATGTCCACGATAGTTGTCTGGAATCTTTGTTTGTTTATTATGTGCGCGAAATTGTTTCCCGCTCGTTCAAATGACTTATTTTTGAAGTAATGACAAATACTTTCGTGTATCTCTAAGCTTTGAAATACCTACACAAAATTCACTTAGTAGTAAATAAAAAATTTACAAAAAACAAAATGTTGACAGATCAAGCACGGATCATAGTTGGATGCTCAAAATGATTTAGTTAGTGCGGAATACTTCACAAAACATGAACATAAACGTAAAATAGTCCGAAAATAACTATTATGACCAAGGATGGTAGTACGAATATATATGTTATACGGATCAAAAGAGTTAAAATGGGGTTCTTTGAACACCCCCCACCTCTCCCTTTCAGTATTTGGTTATATATTTACCCTCCCTAACCTACTGAGAACACCCCCTCACTTTAAGTATTCAATCAAGTTTTTACTCATTCTAACCTACTGTGAACTCCCCCTCACTTTAAGTATTTATTTAAATTTTCAGTTACCCTAACCTACTGTGAACACCCCCTCACTTTCATTGTCTAGTTAAATTTTCACTCACCCCAATTTACTGTGTACACCCCTCCCCCCCCCACTCCGAGTATTTAAGTAAATTTTTATTCACACTAATCTAACCATGAACAACCCTTATTTTGTTATTTAGTTTCGTCAATTCCAAACTCCCTCTGTAATTGGGGCCAAATTTGAAATTCTGGAATCCGTTGTGTCGGGAGTATAAATAATAATATTATAATAAATAAAAGGGTATTAGTAAGTCATATGCTGGACATTTAATATAATTTCATTATATACTTTTGTGTTTCAGAAACCAACATAACTGGTTCTACAGTGCAAGACTTGGACATCGAAACTGCTGAAAATGTCTCTTTGGTCGCAGAGGTAGCAAACATATCAACGAGTAACGAGACAAGTGTGCAAGCTGAGGAGGTTTCTTTTTCCACTGAACAAGCAAACGTTACGGCAGGGGAGGCAATTATCTCTGCAAATGTACTTCAACAAACCAACATTAATGGTAAATAATTTTTATACCTCTTGTCAAACTTACTTTTATTGTGGTCAACAAGTTGCATGCTTGTGATAGAGATCTTGAATTTGAGTTCTGGCTATGTTATGTCAATCTGGGCCGGACATCTTTCAGTCCATCTGAACTGGCGTCTTAAATTCTTCAAATGCAGGAATAGAGAACTGATATTGCCAAGTACCCATGAGTACATCTAGTGTATTTTATAGTGTTAGTTATCATGGTACTTGAAATTGTGGTTTAAAATGGGGTTCATTGAACACCCCCCGTCCCACTTTCAGTATTTAGATTTTAGTATTTCCTTTTTCAAGAAATATTTTATCACCCTTACCTACTGTGAAGTGAACACCCCCTCACTTTAAGTATTTAGTCACGTTTTTACTCACCCTAACCTACTGTGAACACCCCCTCACTTTCAATTTGGTGAATTTTCACTCACCCCAACCTACTGAGAATACCCCTCACTTTAAGTATTTAGTCAAGTTTTCACTCACCCTAACCTACTGTGAACACCCCCTCACTTTCAATTTAGTAAATTTTTACTCACCCTAACCTACTGAATACACCCCCTCACTTTCAGTATTCAGTTAAACTTTCACTCACCCTAACCTACTGAGAACACCCCCTCACTTTAAGTATTTAATCAAGTTTTCACTCACTCTAACCTACTGTGAACACCCCTCACTTTCAATTTGGTTAAATTTTACTCACTCTAACCTACTGTCAACACCCCCTCACTTTCAATTTGGTAAATTTTCACTCACCCCAACCTACTGAGAATACCCCTCACTTTAAGTATTTAGTCAAGTTTTCACTCACCCTAACCTACTGTGAACACCCCCTCACTTTCAATTTAGTAAATTTTTACTCACCCTAACCTACTGTGTACTCCCCCTCACTTTCAATTTGGTTAAATTTTACTCACTCTAACCTACTGTGAATACCCCCTCACTTTCATTATTTAGCTGAATTTTTACTCACCCTAACCTACTAAGAACACCCCTCACTTTCAATTTGGTAAATTTTCACTCACCCTAACCTACTGTGAACACCCTTCACTATCATTATTTGGGCTATTCCAAGTGACACTACGGGACAATTCCAGAAATTTTGCATGTTGTTAGATTCAATATATTTTCATATTTTCAGCTACATGTTTTGTTTCATTGTGCAATCAGTTGCTTTATTGAATATGTAAAGAATTGCACAAAAGTTACACCCAACCTTACTTAGTAGATAAAAAAAATATAGTAAAATATAGCGTGACACTACAGGACGGCAAATCCACCATGCACTAACAGTACGTTGTGTTGTGCTGTAAATTTTTGCGATGGTACAGTGGGAGGCCCATAATATTTTTTGGTGCAGTAGCTGAACTACCCCTCTATGTGTTGCTCAAGTTACTTAATGTAACACTGTAAATCCATGCCAATAATGTGCATATTGTATGTGACACTACAGGACGTGACACTTCAGGACATTTTTCCACTTCGGAATAGCGGCATCTATTATCTCTTAAAATTCTGGTGATAAATCGTTAAATGGGTGAAGAAATGTTCTACAGCACTGCAAACATTTAAACTTCATTAACTTAAATCCAGTGCGTCAATTCCATATGAAATAACTGTACCACACAATCAAACACTTTGTGTCAGGAATCATCACAAAATATGTCAATTATACCAAAATTTCTACATTTCAGGCCATTTTTCAAAAACCATCAAAAACCTGGGTGAAATTTTAAATTGTTCGATGAAATGAATGCAGTCCAATATATATATCCAATGTCTTTTGATATCAAAAATAAAAAAAATTACTTTCCCTACACTTTTTAAAAAATTGATGAATTCATCTTTTGATTGGAATGGCCCATTTGGGTAAATTTTCACTCACCCTAACTTACTGTGAACACCCCTCAATTTCAATTTAGTAAATTTTTACTCACCCTAACCTACTGGTTACACCCCTCACTTTCAGTATTTAGTCAAGTTTTTACTCACCCTAACCTACTGTGAACACCCCTCACTTTCAATTTGGTAAATTTTCACTCATCCTAACCTACTGTGAACACCCCCTCACTTTCATTATTTGGGTAAGTTTTCACTCACCCTAACCTACTGTGAACACCCCCTCACTTTCATTATTTGGGTAAATTTTCACTTACCCTAACCTACTGGTTGCACCCCCCCACTCCAAGTATTTAAGTAAATTTTTATTCACCCTTACCTAACCATGAACAACCCCCATTTTGTTATTTAGTTTCATCAATTCCGAACTCCCTCTGCAATTGGAGCCAAATTTGAAATTCTGGAATCCGTTGTGTCGGGAGTATAAATAATAATATTATAATGAATAAAAGAGTATTAGTAAGTCATATGCTGAACATGAACGTAATTTCATTCAATACCTTTGTGATTCAGAAACCAACATAACTGGTTCTACAGTGCAAGACTTGGACATCGAAACTGCTGAAAATGTCTCTGTGGTCGCAGAGGTAGCAAACATAGCAGCGAGTAACGAGACAAGTATACAGGCTGAGGAGGTTTCTGTTTCCACTGAACAAGCAAACGTTACGGCAGGGGAGGCAATTATCTCTGCAAATGTACTTCAACAAACCAACATTAATGGTAAATAATTTTTATACCTCTTGTCAAACTTACTTTTATTGTGGTCAACAAGTCGCATTCGTGTGATAGAGATCTTGAATTTGAGTTCTGGCTATGTCATGTCAATCTGGGCCGGACATCTTTCAGTCCATCTGAACTGGCGTCTTAAATTTTTCAAATGCAGGAATAGAGAACTGATATTGCCAAGTACCCATGAGTACATCTAGTGTATTTTATAGTTTTAGTTATCGTGGTACTTGAAATTGTGGACTACTGAAAGAATGTGGTTTTAAAATGGGTTTCTTTGGACACCCCCCGTCCCACTTTCAGTATTTAGTTTTTAGTATTTTATTTTTCAAAAAATATTTTAACACCCTTACCTACTGTGAACACCCCCTCACTTTGAGTATTTAGTTAAATTTTTACTCACCCTAACCTACTGAGAATACTCCCTCACTTTAAGTATTTAGTTAAATTTTTACTCACCCTAACCTACTGAGATTAACCCCTCACTTTAAGTATTTAGTTTTTAGTATTTTATTTTTCAAAAAATATTTTAACACCCTTACCTACTGTGAACACCCCCTCACTTTGAGTATTTAGTTAAATTTTCACTCACCCTAACCCTTTAAGTATTTATTTGAATTTTCACTAACCCTAACCTACTGAGAACACCCCCTCAAATATATCAGACTATGCTAAACAGGAACGAAGTTTTTGGCAAATTTTTCAGAAACGTCCACACAAATTGCCATGCCTCCTGCAGGGGTATCACGAACAATTTTTAGATATGCTAGAAGATGATCATAGTTTCCAGAAATGCAATCCATGATATTTTATGTGAAAATGATGTACAGTGGCACAGTGGAGTACATGGCTATAATGAAGTGAAACCTATTTGTTCCAGAAACCAACATAACTGGTGCTCTTGTTGGAGAGTTGAAGGCAGAAAATATTCAGAATATACATGCTGAACATATCGTGGTATACAATCTGCCTGGAAATTACGGTACGATAGATTTACTAGATTCAAAGTACAGTAGAAACTCTACTTGCGAAAGGGTCTGGTTACAAAAAATCCAACTTATGAAAATTCTTTTCCTAAAATAATTTCTTTGAGTCCGATTTTCTACATACGAGAGCAAAATAAAAATTAAAGCCTGTGGTAGCTCTCCTGCCATAGAATCAGCAACTATCTGCCATCTATGCCATTGTCCCGTTTGTTTCCCGCGGGTACGTACAATGTGTCATCAACCATTTTCAGTTGCTAGCAAAATTCAGTGAAGAAACATGGTACGGGTAACAGTTAAACAAAAGAAAATGCAATAAAAAAAAATTAAACTAGAAAAGCAAAATAAAAAAGAGTAAATTCTAATTTTGAATTTCATGTGCGTGTGCTCATTTTTGTTCATTCTGTTCTCTCTTAGATGTCTAGTAGGCCAACGTCGAAGGTGAACAAATCGTTCATGGTTTTTATTCGTTATTTCTCTGTTATTTCTTCTTTCCATGTGTGCCTTTTTTTATTATGAAGAAATCTATGTGTAACATGCGTTTGTTATGGCTTTTAACCAGTATTACATTTTATACAAAAATTATGTCCAAGTTTTGTGGGAATTTTCCAATAACGAAGGGGTCTTTAGAACAAATTAATTTTGTGGGTAGAGTTCCTACTGTAATATTTTATTTATAATAGTCACATGCATTGAAGTTGAAAGCGTTGATAACAAGATAAGACATATGTCCTTACAACATCTTCAAAGTTAATACTTAACGTAATAGAATTCATTTTTTAGGTTATTATTGTGTAAATGTTTGTTCATATTTTTTGTAGGACAAGCTGAGGCATCAGCCGACTCTTTAGCGCCATCAACATCGGGATGGATCCGTCAGGCACAGCAGACCCCAGTTCGGTCAATGGCAGCAGCAGATGATGCCGGGCAGGCAGTAACCGTTCGGGAGGATAAAAAGATTTCAGGTGATTAGGAGCAGTGGTTCCCAACTGCCGGTCGGCAAAGAAATTTCGTTGTTTTGTTGTTTTTATGACGTCTCAATTGGTTCACCGAAGACGAGGTTGCATTGGTTCATTATGCAATATCTCTTCCGACGTCTAATTTCGACGTCTTTCACGACATCTTGGCACCATCTTTCGCGACATCTTGGCGCCGAGAAATTACACTTTAGGCTTTTTCGGCTCTGATTCATCGCGAATGCGCTCCATCAAATCTTGCAAGATTCAGCACCCTAAAAATTGGCACATGGGCTTTTTCTGTTTTGCGTGCATATCCTGATTAATATGACCACCCATATAAAACGTTATGCATATTCCTTTGTTTAAACTGTCAAGAACAGTCGAGAACAGTATAATATTCCAGTAAGATATGAACTTGTTGCGACCATGCCGGTGGTAACGAGACGTGCAAAAAAGCATGGGCCGCAGAGATCTTTTCCAGTATTTTGAGCAGACAGTAAGATTTTCAGCCTGTTCCCAAGTTACCGACGACTTTGTCATTGTAATGTAAATTCATTTCGTTTGAAGCGTCGATCGACTGCAGAGGGATTAATATGATGAACCCGATGAAAAAAACGCTTGATTAAACTTATGATTCTACCTACTCTACAGTCCAGATTTAAAAAAGAATCACTGTCACAATTTTGGATATCTCTTGATAACGAATACACATCGCTAAGTAATCGAGCAATCAAACTGTTGTGTATGTTCAAACAGTTACTGCGTTATGCAAAAAAACATTTTCATCATTTGATTGAATCAAAACAAAGCAAAGAAATTGGTTGCACGTCGCTGCAGAGCTACGTGTTACGGAAACTTCTTTAAGGCCTCGTTTGCAATCCTATATTTGTAACAAAACAGCAGCAAAATTCTCACTCAAGTAGTGCTCGTCAACCGGGTGTATGGTACACCCCAGGGTGTATCAAAAAGTTTAAAGGGTGTACCGCTTCGAAAGGGTGTACCAGGGGTGTACCGTACCCAATGTTGTAAGGTACACACTATCATACGATATGCTTCTAACCCAGGAAAAACTTTCGATGGCTGCTAGTTTTCAAGATATTTTTCGGCTTGCAAAATTGTCTCATCTAACAGACGTATATATTTAATATCACAAATCATATTTAAAATCATATCAGATCAGTTGAAGTTATCGAGGGGAAAGGATGTACTATTTTTGAAGCTAGTATCAAGATTGAGTCTTTTAAAATGTAATTGTGGCAGAAAAATGTATTAAAATGTGATTTTTCCGATTTTGAATGTCTGGAATATTTCATCGAGACCTAATATTGGGAAAATTGAAACGCAGATATGAAAACCAAGAGGTGATCAATTGTTCATACCGTGTTTCCTCGAAAATAAGACCTAGCCTGTATTTTTAAAATGATTTTAATATAAGCCCTCCCCTTAAACAAAAAAACCAAGTCCTGGTCGATAGCGCAAATTTTTTTTTTGACCAATTTGATAGCAAGACACATACACGTTTCAAAAGATTATAATCTATATTTAGCAGTTTTTTTAAATAAAAATGTGTTATTTATGAGTAAGTATATTTGAAAATCTCGTGATTCTCTACTTTGTAATTTTGTTTTGGACAAATGAAAATAAAAGGCATCCCTCAAAATAAGTCCTAGTGTTAATTTTAGAGAGTAAATTGAACTAAGACCCTCTCTTATTTTCGGGGAAACACGGTAAGCATCTTAATGTGCTACTACTAAACTTCGGAGCCTATTTTCCGGATGTTGAATATCAGAATCTTGGTTTTCTAATATGAACCATTCAGCCATTCACAAGTGGAAAGGTTGCTCTTGAACACATAATTGATGAATTACAATCAGATCTTGTACGGAAGGCAGAGTTCAAAGCATATAAAAACTACAACAAATTTTAGGCAGAACTATTAGAAGTTCCCGAGTATCGCAATCTTTCACAAAAAGCTGTCACAATTCTCGTACGAATGCCTACAGACCTACGACATACCTTTCCAAACAAGGGTTGTCTGCACTCATTGAAATTAAATCCAACAGCAACGGTCACATTGACTAAATAATAAACCATTGCGCCAACGTGAACATATACATATAACTTCTAAATATTGAGTTCTTCATTTATTAAAAATGTAGGACGGCGGGGTGTACCAGATTTCAAGATTTGGTTGAAAGGATGTACCATTACAAAAAAGGTTGACGAGCACTGCACTAGAGTCAATTGCATTTGTACATGATTTGGTATGCACATGTTTTTTATGTGAGATGTTTTATGCGTGCCTTTCTTACGCACAATGTGTGCCTAGCACTGCATTTCATTATAATACCGCAAATATACGGTATTATTCCATGTTTCACCTATTTCAATTTTTGATAGGCACATTATTTGATAGTTTTTCTCCGTGTGGAATGTTTTTGAATGTGCCTTTTTTGTCTAGAGGCATATTGAGTGCCAGAAATTGCAATATATTACGCAAATATATGTTATTCTTTTCTATTCCGGTCATTTCAATTTTTTTGCCTGTGCGCGAGTACATTTAATTTAATTTTACCGGTCTGCCATGGTAGAAAGGTTGAGAACTACTGATTTAGAGCATGAATGCATTTTTCTTTTTCAAATTGAAATTTCTAATGTATTGAAGTTTTCTCTTTTCAATTTGGTGAGATCAGTTACCACGATTCTATAGTGTATTGTAATCCTGTCAAATTTTAAAACAGAGATGGTGAAGTTCCAATTTTAGAGGGTATATAAATCAATATTAAATGTTTGTTCATATTTTTTGTAGGACAAGTTGAGGCATCAGCCGGCTCCTTAGCGCCATCAACATCGAGATGGATTGGTCAGGCACAGCAGACCCCAGTTCGGTCAAAGGCAGCAGCAGATGGTGCCGGGCAGGCAGTCACCGTTCGGGAGGATAAAAAGATTTCAGGTGATTCAGAGCATGAATGCATTTTGCTTTTTCAAATTGAAATTTCTACTATAGTAAAGTTTTCTCTTTTCAATTTGGTCAGATCAGTTACCTGAAATT